ATGAATGGGTTGAATGAATTTAAAAGAGACAAAACACTGTTTTGTCCCTGTGAGGGAGAGGCTTGTAATACGACGCTGTGGCGCGAGTTGTATAGGATGTTACAAATTTTGTTTCTTTTTTACTTAATTAGTTTGTTTGAAAAATATTTTTTTTTAATTATGGATTTTGTTTAACGTTAATATTTTTTTATGATTATTGGTAAGTAGCGTTAGACGTGTGTTCATTTATTGTCGCGATGGTAACGACACGCTGTATATAGCAATATAATAGCGAGTGCCCGGTTGTTCTCACAGACCCGCAACTGGGATTTCATCTGGACTTTTAACTGATTACACGAGTGTACAACCTCTGGGACCAACCGCGTAATTAGCGTTACTATTAGATGAGCTAGCGGTCTGTTTCGGATGAAAGGATATAGTGTAAGTTGCGCCGCTGCCATAGCGGTTTTGCTAAACGAAATTAATTTTGAGGGAGAGAGTATAAAGTGAAAACATTATATTTCATAACTTCTCTAACATAGCGAATATTATATTTTACAACAACCCGCGTTTAGACGTTTCAAATAAGAATAAATTCGCTTCATCGTCCGTAAATTAGTTTAATTATAAAGACTTAACTTTACTTGACAATGTCTGCCATAAGTAGTAGTGCCTCTTTCATATTATTTCAATGGATTTTTCCGAGTCTAACCATCATTGGCATGGCATCACATAAACTCAGTATACTTCTATCTTCGGTGTAAAAGCGAAGACGCGGTACTTCACTCCACCAATTGGCACCTAAGCTCCGTCTCTCTTTCTCTCTATCTATGGGCCCGTGTGCCCAGATCGCGACTTTGTAATGCAAATTTTTGATACGTGTGCGCTTTTAATTAAACGCGAAGAACGCACCCACTAGAAGATCACAGGAATAATTATTTTTGCCTTAAAAAGTAACAGAAGTGGAGGCATGAGCGAGATGCGAGAGAGAGACGACGAACGAGCTAAGATCGTTTCACCTCATGCAAGTGATAATCGCCACCAATCGACAGTCACCAATAGACCTAAGAGTATACCTCACTCGTTGTGCAAAGTATATCAAATGTTCTTAGGTTGCATTTTCTGGCTATAGCCGAGCCATTCTTGCGTCAGCAAAGGTTGCTTTGTCGCTCTATTGTAGTAAAATTCAATGGTAATCAAAATCTGTCAGTCAAATATTTCTCCCAGGAATTCATATGGTGATAACGATGACGGCCACGCTGTAATTGGAAACGCTGGCAGGTTCGAATGGTAATTGCCACATTCTGAATAGGTTAACTGTGGTGGGGCCACACAACAGTCTTCGCTGTTGCAGCAATGGGCAGTTCTGTTCGAATAAGCACCACGACCTCGCCGAAGACCGGCACGATGTGGACGTGTTATATTTTTCTTCTGGTGAGTGAGGTAGCCGGGGCCCAATTTATTAAAGGGGGCAAATATTAATGGGCGGCTGTTATCACTTAACATTAGGTGATCCGCCAGCTTATTTGCCAATTTCACGCGTACGTACTCGATGCATGCAAAAAAGGCTTTGCATACCAAGTCATCGATACAAACACGCCCCAAAACACGCAAGCCCATTGCTAGGTAATCTTATAATTTTTTTGGGTTAAAGCAAACTATTAACGTCTCAAAATTATTTCAAATGCCAATTTGGATATCATTTAAGTGTTATGTTATTATCAATCATTTAGATTATTTTTTTTAGCAAATTACAATTACAAATTACAATAACAAATTACAATCCCCTTGTTTGGGACGCCACCTGGGTAGACACTTTGGCTGCCTCTCATCTAAGGGGTACTTCGGTCAGGGCCGGGGCGGCATCGGAGGCAGCTGTAGTAAGTAAATGGCGCAAATATGAGTCTTTATGTTTAGATTATGTATTTGTGCCATTTGCTGTTGAAACTTTAGGTCCGTGGGGTCCCCGCACTTCAAAATTTCTTAAAAGTTTATGTCCTAGGCTTAACGCTCGCGGCTGGTGACAAGAGAGCTGGTTCTTTTCTCGCTCAAAGGTTAAGCATAACTATCCAGCGAGGAAATGCAGCTAGCGTTCTTGGCACCGTGCCGCGTGGATTAGGTTTATTAGATAATATGTAATTTTAGATAGATTTAATCTTGTAAATATTAGATCTTAGATTAATTGTTAAGTTTTTTTCTATTTGTGAAATCTTCGTCCACGCCACACAAGTACGGTATTGGTTAACCGAAAGTGCTTGTTAACCGAAGTTGCTCAAGACGAACAAAACCATGACCGCTTTGGTCAGAAGTCCTGGTTAAAGGATAGCAACGAACGGTGTTGATGATGTTTTTTTTTTATGTGACAAGTTGCCAGGGCGGTTCACCTGATGTTAAGTGAATACCGCCGCACATGGACATCTGCTACACACGAGGCTTGCAGATGCGTTGACAACCTTTTGAAAATTGGGCTCCAGCTACCTCACTCACCAGACGAAACGCGAAAGTATTATACTTCCACTTTACGCCGGTCTTCTGTGAAGTTGTGGTACTTACCCGGATGAACCTGCCCATTCGTGCAACAGCCGAGGCTGCTGCGTGGTAGTAAACAGTAAAATGTCTGGACATTTATAGTTAGCAATTATTACCTAAAGAATAGCGAGAGGCCCAAATTAAACACTAGAAATAAGGACAAACTAACTACGCTAGTGTTTCGTCTACAAAAAGTAAATAGGTCATTAATGGGGCATAGTGTACGCATGTATAATACAATCCCACAGATATACTCTGCCACTTGGTAAATTTAAACGCATAAGTAATCTTATGGTTAAAGCATATTATACCATTGCTGAATATCTCGACGACGCAAATGTGTGGAGCGTCTCAACAGAAACTGCCACCCGAAACGGTGCTAACTGACGAACTTATGTATCAATTTTTATGTGAAATACCATAAGAACGCGCAGGCGCCTGTTTGAATAGAGTCGTTTTGAATTTGACTTTGTTCTTTTGTTGTAGTTTGTTCTAACAAAAGACTTAGGATCAGATAGGCCTTGCTTTAATGAAACGAAACCGTCTCCCGTGTCCCTAATGAGGCGCATCCAGGCGTTACACATGCGCACACGCGCAAAAGCACACGTACACGCATCGCTCGTCGCCTTGTCATTTCCCGGGTTGCAACTGATTCGCTCTGTCGAATGGCATTTCACCTCGGTCTTAAAAGTCATGTCATCAGGTTCAGTTGGTATCAGGTATGACGCAGACTTAGCGGTTCTAAATGAAGGTAGTTTGTACTTGTGGAATTTTCATATCCGAATCATGTTTGGCTCAGCGCTATAAATGGTAAGTAAAATTAGCTGTAATAAATAACAGTAAGGAGAATTAGCTGTTTAAAACTATTGACGGCTCAATTGTTGCGGCAAATATGAACTATTTGAACGATTAGTACTGTTTTATTTGATGTACCTAGATATATTTAAGAAACAAAAGCTAGTGAAAAATGTATGTCTCTCGTATGTATCTGGTTTGAAAGACCAATATGCAAATATGCCGAATCTGTTACCGCGGGTATTAACAACATATACGACTCGAATACCACGAGATCTTATTCCTTTATTCTTTACTCTTTATTTTACACAAAAAATTATAGTTAAAAATGAAACCCTAAACAGAGTTCTCTAGATCAAGTAATCAAAGGCATATAGGTAGGTGTGTACAATGAAAATTAACTTACAAACTAAAATAAGTACTTGAATATTTCTAAAATATGGGTAATCAAAACATAATTATAATTAATAAACATATACAACTACATGCTAATACATGAATATACATATAATTAAGTTCATACTATCTCGTACACATTATATTCTCGTATGGGAAGACTAAGTTCCAAACATTAGATCTTAACTCTCTCTTAACCTCTATCTCCCATACGGATAACTACATACATGCCAGTTTGTGGCGTTAATGACCATGAATGATACAAGTCAGCCGTCGCCTCATACGGTAAACAACGGCCGCGAAAATTGTTTCCAAGCACCCTCCCTCTTTAGGCGGCCCGGGGAATATTAAAAGGAGGACCGAAACTCGCCAGGTCCGGATTTAGCGAAGGCTCACCGGGGCCTTCACAAAAGAGGGGCCCCCCACAATAGAGACTTCGGCAAAAAAATTCCGACTAGTAAACAATTTTTCGGCGAAAAAATGCTCCGAAGGTTCCGTTCGTTAACGCTAAAATTAAATTTTAGATAATACTTGTTTGCGATTATATTCATATGTTCGTTAAATAATCAAAGAATTTATAGGTACTTGGTTTCTAATTAAATTATTTATTGGCAAACTCGACTGAAAAAATTGTTCATTTTATTTGGAAAATAATTTGTGGCCATGGGGCCTCCACTCCTTTGTTGCCCCGGCCTCAAGACCGGGCCTCCAGACCTCTAAATCCGACCCTGAGACTCGCTGTCTCGCTGTACGGAGCTCAGAGATCCGGAGCGGACGATGCGAGCAAGGGCAGAGTTCGCGGAACCCGTTAAGGGCCGAGGCACACTGAGCTACGAAACATCACCAAGAAATACAAAGCGTTGACGCAATTTATGTTAATGTTTTCTGTTATTAGTCAGATGTAATGTATTAAATGTTAGGTTTTTCTTTTCATGTAAAAAAAGTGGCAAACGAGCTGGCGGTTCGCCTGATGTTAAGTGATAACCTTCGCCCATGGACATTTGCAACACCCGTAGAGTTGTAAATGCGTTGCCACCGTTAAATAAGTGGGCCCCGGCTCCCTGACTTACCAGACGAAACTCAGACGTGTAACACTTCTACTTTACGCCGGTCTTCTGTGAGGTCGTGGTACTTACCTGGACGGACCTGCCCATTCGTGTAACAGTGAAAACTGTTGCGTGGCCCTACCATAGTTATGTTTATAGGTGAATATACTTTATTACCTTACCCATTTTGGACCACAATGTCTATGCGGATAGTGAACTCTACATTTTACAGAGCGTTTAGTGTCAGAGCACGACATGACGCCCGTAACTAGAACTGAGGGCGGTCTGTGGCAATGCCACGCAACGGTCTTGGCTGTTGCACGAATGGGCAGGTCCAACCGGCGGGAAGTGGAAGTGTTATACTTCTGCGTTTCGTCTAGTGACATTTGCAACCCTAGGGGTGGCCAGATCAGATGGACCGCCAGCACAATTGCCGCTTTCTCACATCCCTCGAAGCCCTACTCTGGACAGCGAGTATTTAGTGCATAGTCCATCCGCGAACACACTGTGTATTTCCAAACTTCACGGCCTACCTATATTCTTTATTAACTAGTATGTAATAATACACAAATTCATAAGAAATAAAAGAACGTGCCATTAAGAATTAAATTGGTCATCCAATGAAACGTTCAATTTAATCTTATTGTCATTTATAACATCATTAAACATAATAGGTTTCCTTTTTTACGGGCTCGCACCCACAGGGTCGGGGCCCCAATAGTAAGACTCTACTCTGCTGTCTGTTCGTCTGTCTCTCACCAAGCTGTATCTCATGAACCGTGATGGATAGAAAGGTTAATTTTGTCGCTTCTATAACAACAAATACTGAAAAAAATAAAAAAAATTAACTGGGGCTCCCATACAACAGATATTTATTTTATTTTATTTTAATTATTAAAGATAATATTCTATAATTTATTAAAGATAACGGTACGGTGCCGTACGTGCGCGGTTCCGACCCGCACTTTGCCGGGTTTTTTTATTCATTTGTCATTGACCGTGTGTACCGCCTGTCTAGAGGAATTCAACACTTGTTGTTTCGTTTATCGTCCGTCATAAGTCGTTTGTTAATTACTGTCTTATTAATTGTTTCGGCATTGCGCGTAGCGCCCCCCGTCCATGTGATTTAAGGAACTGTTCCGAGCGCAGAAGCAATATTTACAACAACGATTTGATTGTTAAAAACGGCCGCCAGCTCGACACGCGGCGTCGCGGTGATAAAAGTGTGAAAGCACCGAATGGCTACAACTAGGTTTTAGGCTGCCCACACATGGGAGATTGAAATTAGGCGAGATTCTTTTTTCGAAAATCCGCATCAATTACAGTCCTTACTAATATTATAAATTCGCAAGTTTGTACGTATGGTACTCTTTGACGCAAATACTACTGAATGGATTTTAATGAAACTTTACAGTGACATAGCTTATACATCAGAATAAGACATAGGCTTTAATTTATATATGTACATATTTTATGTATATCTGTGTTTCTGTCTTAATGTTACACCTTCAACCTATTCTACGCAGACATAGTCGCGGACAGCAGCTAGTAAATTATAAATGTCCTTGGGCGTTTGAAATAATTAATAAGAAGCTTGAGACAAAGAGGCAAGAAATCACTAAAGCAAATAACATCACACCTCAGTAGTTACCCGTGGTCAATGTCGTGATCCGTCTATGGACGGAAAGTAAAAAAAAACAAAGTCACAGCCTTTAAATGTCCACTGCGCGACCACACTGCGGATTTGCGAACTTTTATAATACTTCTTTTAATTTCGAAAACATGCACGATTCCTCACGATGCCGAGCACGTGATAAGTCAGCACTTAAAATTATCAATTGTATTTTTAGTACTCAGATTGCTGGATTAGATTGAGGCGAGAGCCCGAACAATGAGCTATCACGGCATAATGTATTTATCCGACAAAGGAAAATCCACGGTCTTATCTCCGTCTCCTCTATTCTACCTCCTCTATACTGATAGCTCCTAAGCTTTTCCCAAAAAAAATGTATGTTTAATAATTTTTTGTTTTAAGGGAAAAATATGACAAAAAAGAGTTTCTTTCGCCTGTTTCTTCTCCTTTAGATAAACCTCGTTACGAAACGGCGGTAGACAAAAAATGACAATCGAATAGATAATTTTGATTTCTTTTTATTTTTAATTAGCGACCCGACCGGCTTCGCTTGGGTGCAATACTGAATGTTTGTTTTCGACATCGCATTAGAAACCTCCAAAATTATCAGTGTTTCTCTAGTATATCGTGCATGAATTATACATATAAACCTTCCTCTTGAATCGCTCTATCTATTAAAGAAAACCGCATCGAAATCCGTTGCGTAGTTTTAAAGATCTAAGCATACATAGGGACAGACGGACAGCGGGACGACTTTGTTTTAAACTGTGTAGTGACAATCTCATATGTTTTTTTTTTATGGAGAAAAGGGGCAAACGAGCAGGAGGCTCACCTGATGGTAAGTGATTACCGCCGCCCATGGACACCAGCAACACCCGAGGGCTCACAAATGCGTTGTCGGCCTTTTATAAGTGTATATGCTTGCGTATTCGGACGGCGGGTGTGCTGGCTGCCTAACGGCGCTGCAACGGCGTCGTGGGCGGGGTGTGTACTATCGCTGACTCTGCTATCGATCGCCTGCACCACGTGCAGCCGCACGCTTATGTGTCTGATAACTTCAAGCAGCCAGCACCTTCATGCTGCCCCGTCTACGGTACAGGGCACGGAGCTCGTGCTAGTCTAAGCTTAGACACAGCAGGAGAAAAGGATTCATCATCATCATTATCATTTACGTGAATAGTAGCCAAACGCGCTTGTGGTTCACCTGATGTTAAGTGAATACCACCACCCATGGACTGCTGTACCCGAGGGTTCCAGATGCGTTGACAACCCTTTGTAAATTGGGCTCCGGCCACCTCACGCACCAGACGAAACGCGAAAGTATTATACTTCCACTTTACGCCGGTTTTCTGTGAGGTCGTGGTACTTACCCGGACGAGCCTGCCCGTTCGTGCAACAGCCGAGGCTGCTGCGTGGCCCTACCACAGTTCATCCTCCTGCCCTTATCCCCACTAAGTGGTCAGCGCAACAAGTGAATCGTCGTAAGCGGTTTTGCCGGCTTTTTACGACCGGCTTGACATCAACCCTCCTCGGGGAACAAACACCCAGACCCGTGTGCGCATCGAACCAGCGACCTCCGACACCGAAGACAATGGAGAAATCGAGGCCGAGCTCTCGAGAACCGAGCTATCACCACTTCTATGCAATAACATTGCACGTTAGGCATAAGAATGATTTAGCTGCGAAGTTCATTTTTATAAAAGCTTTTTACCATAGTTTCATTGAAAAGGTAGACGGATATGTGTAGTGTTTTTTTTTTAATTTACGGACAACAAAGACCTGTCGACGCGGCGGCAGAGTTGAGCTACGCGCTCTATGGAAGTGGTTTTCGAATATTTCGCGTGGCGCGTCGCATTAAACGTTTGCCTACTTGGTTTGATATTTTCCAATGACAGTCGCGACCCACGCTGTTTTTCTATTCGTTCAAAAGTCAAACGCGACGGCGGGTTTTCACTCAATTTATCTGCCATCAGGTTGGCGGGATGCCTTTTTTGTTTTACAAAAGAAGGATTTGCAGTCACGGAGCCACATAAATCATAGGCCACCCACCTGCTGCCAAACGATACGAACGCCCTCGAATATTTTTATCGATGTAATAATTTATTGTATTCGTCAGGAGTATAATTAAATTGAAACACCTTATGACCACATCACAACGGCTACTAAAGAGTGCTCCAAACTCAGTTTTCAAATAGTTTGAAACATTTGTGTGTTGTATTTAAATTTCTGTTAAGTTTTTGATTCGTTTAACAAGGTCCAATTGCGTCTAAAGCGTTCAGTACCTGTCTGTATTGCTCCTAGTCGCTAATCTACCCGTTGTTTTAGATCTGCTTGTTTGAATCCATTAGGGTCGCGTTTATTCTAGTTTGTCCGACCCACCTGTCGATTTTCCTCCAGTGCTCTCCGCCTCAGCCCCCGCGGAGTGAATATCCTGAACAAAATGCTATCGAGCGGCGCCTTTTAACCGGATTATCCTGCGGCTCGTAACCCACCCGCTCTAATTGCCACGAGCCTCTTTAATCTCATTCTGCTCGAAAGCGAAAGCGGACTTGCTCCGGCGCGGGCTCTGAGCCGTTTAAGCTAGCGTCGATTGCATCTGTTCTAGGATTCGCAAGTTTCAACTACGTCGGCCGCCGGCTCTGTCAGTCTATTAGGAGGCGGCTTTACAAGGCTTTGGCGCGAGAGAAGATAGGAAACGATTAGTTTACTATAATTTAACAAGATAACATCACGTTATTTTAGAAGGACTATTAAAGGGGGCAGTTGGACTCGGGCTATTTTTAAGTTTATTTAAGCGACCTTACAATGGATTGCTCGGGTCAATGGGGCAGGAAATATTGTAGAGTCAGCGTAGACGGAGGCATTCGAATCGCCGCCCACTTTGACGCCTACGCGACGGAGTCGTAGCAAGTAGGTACCTGATGCTAAGTAACAGCACCAAGTTACACAAACCACTTTCGATGTTAACATTATCACACGCCCCGGGTGGTCTCAAAGCTCGATTTGAAATTTGTGTTCGGGGGCGGAGATTATCAATGGTGTTTTTTGCAATAAAATAAAATCGTAGACAACAAATATGAAGTATAAACTTTTGTTTTTATTGGTTTGCCTTTATTTTGGATTTACTTTAAAGGAAATATAACACATTATCCACCTTAATTTAATAACGGTATGCAAAAGCAAAGTTACTTCAAGAGCAATCCAACTATACGCGAAAGCTATCACAAGATTATTTAAGCAAGATTATTTTGAACATTAAAACATGTAGAAAAAGAACGAAAAGATTGTCGCCGCTGTGGGAATCGAACCCACGTCTTCGGCATTCGCGGCCTGACGCTCATTTCATTTGCAAATATTATTTATTAAAGCGATAATTTACTTAAAAAATTTCATCTGATAAAAAAAGAAGGCTTTAGTTGTTCTCCTATTTTGGTATGGCACACGTGGTTGCAGCTGAAATTGTTTACGTAGGTACTCGACGGGCAAATAACAACGCCTTTGTCGCGTCAATTTGGCGCGCTTTCGCGTGAAAATGGCGCCACGGCAAATTGCATACAATTAGAAGGCGTTTCCACATTTCGAGTAACAAGGTTTGTTTAGGATTAGGCAGCGGTGCAGCGTTCTCCGTCGTTGATTATTTACTCAAGTTTATAAGGAACAGTGATAACTTAATTAGTACTTCGATTAATCTACTGCGTGTATCTTTACTAAAAATTAGAGCGAAATAAAAAAGATCTCTGCACTTTTATCGTGAAAAGTAGAGTTGAAGTTGAATATGTAGGGTTCCGCACCCAAAGGGTAAAACGGGACCCTATTACTAAGACTCCTGTTTGTCTGTCTGTATGTCCTTCTG